AACCATGATTGTGTTATCTGTATAACATAGGTTGTTGATGAGTCTCCTTCCAATTCTTCCTCATAACATCAGGTCTCCCGAATAATCTGTTCTGCATATAGATTGAAAAGGTATGGAGATAGGATGCATCTCTGATGCACACCTTTCCTGATTCTGAACCTTGCAGTGTTTTGCTGCTCTATACTGACAACTGCTTCCTGGTCCAAGAATAGGTTTCACGTGAGCACAATTAAGTGTTCTGGGATTTCCATTCTCCTCAAGGTCAGCCACAGTCTGTTGTGATCCACACAGTCAAATGCTTTTGCATACTCGGCTTTTGGCGAAGATCTAATGTTGGTTATGATGTTCCTAGTGCCATGGTCTCTTCTAAACCAAGCCAGCACGTCTGGCAGTTCTCTGCTGATGTACTGTTCCAGTTGTTTTTGGATAATCTTTAGCAGAATCTTGCTATATTAGTGATCTTGCTGATTTTAGTGATATTGTGTGATAATTTCCTCACTCCATCAGGCCATCTTTTTTTGGAATGGGAATAGAGATCTCTTCCTGTCAGTTGGCAAGTTACCTGTACTCAAGATTTCTTGGCACACCTAGTGAGCACATCCAAGGCAGCATGTGCTTGTTGAAATACTATCAGTTGCTGTTCCATCAGCTGGGGCCTCGGTTTTTGCCAATTCCTTTAGAGCAGCTTGAACTTTCTCCTTCATCACCATTGTCTCTCGATCACATGTTGTTTCATTAAATTCTTCTGTCAGACAATTCTTTTTGGTACAGTGACTCTGTGCACTCATTCCACCTTCTTCTATTTTTTCCCTTCTTGTTGTGTGCCATCAAATTGGATCCGAATGGAATAGAAGGAGATTCCCCCTCCTCCAGCAGAGCATCTGGTGGATTCAAATCGTGCACCTTTGGGATTGCAGTGTAGCTTCTTGACACTAGGTCACCAGAGCTCCTCTCCATCTTTCAAATCTTCCTGAGTCATTCAACATTCTGCCCTACATCCTTAAGTATTGCAACTTAAGGTTTGAATTTGTTCTTCAGTCTGTCAGCTTAAGAAATGCTGAGCTAGTTCATCCCTTTTTATTTTCCTACTCTAGCTCTGCACATTTCATTATAATACTTGGTCTTCCCACATTGCCCTTTGAAATTTCCTGTTTAGTTCCTTAACTTCCTGATTTCTTCCCTTTGCTTTGGCTTCTCAACGCTCCAGTGCAATATTCAGAGTCTCTTCTGGCATCCATCTTGGTCTTGTCTTTCTCCTTGGTCTTTAAAATGACTTTTTACATTCTTCCTGGATGATATTCCTGATATCCTCCCACAGCTCATCTGGTCTTTGCTCATTAGTGTTCAAGGACTCAAGCCTGTTTCAGAAGTGATCTTTGAATTCTGCTAGGATAGACTTGAGGTCAAACTTTGGTTCTTATGGGTTGGATTTTATTTAGCTTCAGCTTGAACTTGCATATGAGTAGTTGGTGGTCTGTTCCATAATCAGCACCTGGCCTAGTTTTCACAGCTGACATTGAGTTTCTCCTGCGGTTCTTTCCACAGATGTAGTCAATCTGATTCCTATGCATACCATCAGGTGAAGTCCATGCGTATAGTTGCTGTTTATGTTACTTATAACCTTGACAATTATCTCTTCTGATTTTAAACCAGAGTATCTCCTTGTTCTGTTCAAGTGACTGTTTCTTGGTTCATGAACAAGCGCTACAGGAGCCCAATTCAGTCCCCTGTAACCTCCATTAGAACATAATTTATCATGACCCATAGAACTGGGTACTATTTCATAGTCAATATAACACAAGAAAAACATCTTTTTGGTATTGTTTACCAGAGTTCTCTACCATACTTATTTGAATCCAAATTCAGTCTCTGGCAATACCTTGTCTATTTATGTTTCCAGTAATTTTTTAATAATCCTTAGAAAGATTTCACTTTGGCAGGATCTTAATGACACTGTTGAATGATTTCCACATTCTGTTTATTCTGTTGAATCATATTTTTCCCTTGTGGATACAAATATGGGTCTCTTCCCAGTAGTTGGCAAGGTAGCTGTCTTCCAAATTTCTCAGAAATGAGTAAGTCCACGAATGCATCTGCTTGTTGAAATACCTGAATTGATAGTCTGTCAATTCCTGGAGTCTTATTTTTGCCAGTGTCTTCAGTGCAGTTTGTAATTTTTGCTTTAGTATCATTGATTCTTATTTATGTATCACTTTCTGAAATTACTGTTCCGAGTAGTCCTTTTGGTACAGTGACTCTGTATATTCCTTAGATCTTTTATTTTTTTTTAACCCCTTCCATCTGTTAATGCATCTTTTCAGTTCTTTTCATTTGAAAAACGTCTAGTTTGTTCTTCTCTTCTGCTTTTCTAACTCCACACTTCATTGTCATCCTTCATCTTCTGGAAATGCCCTTTGCAATATTCTGTTCAGCTGTCTTATTTTTGCATTTTGCTTTAGCATCTCTTCACTGGAAAGCAAGTTTCAGAGACCGTCATGACAACCATTTGGTTTTTCCTTATTTCTTCCTCTACATGACACCCACAGCTAGTCTGGTCTTCAGTCATTAGCTGCAACAAAGCTATCCTTGAGAGAGTTCTTACTTTTGGGTAGGATAAACTAAAAATCTTATTATGCCTTTCATGGACTTGTTTTCATTTTCTTCAGCTTCAATTTCAGCTTACAGAGGAACACTTGATAGTCTGTTCCACAGGTTCCCTCTGGTCTTGTTTTGACTGCTGATAATGACCTTCCCTCCTATCTTATCTCTTTCCAACATGTACTCATTCTGATCCTGGTTTATCAGGTAAGGACCAAGTACATAGCTATTTTTATGTGTGTGTGTTTTTTTTAAAGATATTTACAATGAATAATTTATTACACAAAATTCTATCACATGAACTTTGACCTCATTTCTGTCACCAAGGCCATATTTTCAAACTACCAACCATTCTCTGTTTCTGACTCTACCTTCCATCTACCAGTTACCATCAGCATCTCTAGACACATGTCCAGTTTCAGACTGCAGAAGCTGGTGAACATTCTCAGTTTCTCCATCTTTGAGTTGTGTGTATATCTGATTAATAGTTGTATCAACAGGTCTTCGTTGCATGTCTGTGATGTTATTCCATCACTGACAGCATGGTATTTCTAGACAGATCTTGAAACACACTTTTGAACATGAATTCTACACCATTTATTTTCAAGTTGTCATTTCCAACATGGTTGTTGTTGTTATGTGCCATCGAGTTGCTTGCAACTCATAGCGACCCCTATGTACAACAGCCCTAAATTCTGCTCTGTCCTGTGCCAATCCTACCATCTCCGATACACCCATCCAGATTACCCCAGTCATGGAATCAATCCACCTCATAGAGGGCCTTCCCCTCCTGCACCTGCCCTCCACCTTACCAAGCATGATGTCCTTCTCCAAGGACCGGTCCTTCCTTACAACATGTAAAAGTATATTAGACGGAGCCTCAGAATCCTTGCCTCCAAGGAGCCGCCCGGTTTAACCCTTTCTAGGATGAATCTGTTTGTTTTCCTAGCATAGTAGATCACACAATTTCCTGTTTCAAAATGTAGCAGCCCATTTCAGATCACTAATGCCCAAGATATGGGTCTTCATGTGTTCTATTTCACGTTTGACAACTGCTACTTTTCTTAGATTCACCCTTTGTACATTCCATGTTCCACTTAGTAACAGATGTTTGCAATTATTTCTCCTCAGAGGTATATTTATATAATTGAATAGACACAGATACAGGTATAGACGTGACTACTCCACATAGAGCCATGGAGATAGATATATCTAGTGTAAGGCAAAGAAAACAAGCTGAAAAGACTCTGCTCTCAAACAGTTTTAAGTCTGGACTTGACCCATATGTGACGAACATGTGATCAATGCTCAAAGCTCAGAGTCATGGTGACGGTGCCTGGAGCTTGGCCAGCCTGTCCTGCAAACGTCTGATGTCTCAGGCAATATGCTCAGGGCGACCCGTGGCTTAGTCTCCTCTGGTCTCACAATACTGCCATGGATTGATTATTCCAAGCCCATTTCTCAGATAAACACACTGAGGCTTACTGTAAAATACCAGCAAGGTGTTCATGGTGGTACTTCCTTGACAGTAGAGCCAGGACCCATGCAGATTAAGTAGAGGATTCACTGTGGTACCCACAGAAGGCAAACTCTCCGCAGCAGGGGGCAGTAGCCTGGCCTATGGTCAGTGCCCCCATCACCAGGGGCCTGTTATTTTGGCCAGTACAGGCAGTCTGGAGGGCCAGCCTGCCCTGTTCCAGGCCTCGAAGGGCAGACGCTGCTGAGGGCCTGAGGGACAATCTCTTCCTGGCCTGGAAGCTGTACCTCTTTCCTCCTGCTGGGGAATCTACAAGGATCCAGCCCTCCCTGCACAGGCCTGAGGTCACACGGAACTCCAGAAGACCAGATCTTTGTCCCAGGGGGGAGGGGGTGGGGGGCGGGAACATAGAACTCTTCCTGAGATCTGCGGGGTGAGGGGTAGGATGTCCATGACCAGGTACCCTGATCTGTGACCACGGAGTGTGGGTTTCAGTGGTGAGGGCGCTGTGTCATAGGTGGTCTTTGCTATTGAGGGGTGGATGTCCATGACCAGGAGGGCTAAGGTGGTCAGTGCCCCTTTAACGGGCAGTGCTGATCTTCAGCAGGGACGCTGAGTGCCATTGTGCAGGTTGTGTGTGGAGGCCACCTCACAGCGGGTGCTCCTGTAACCTAGTACCTTCAACCTCCAGCCGGGGCCCCATTTCCCGGCCATATCAAACCCTGATGCTGGCCATCACCGGGCAAGTCAGAGGTCAGCCCTCACTGTGAACACAGGATAGCATTCTCACAGCTTTGAAGCACACTCCCAGTTTTCTCCAACAAGCCTGGGACAGGTCCCTCCTGAGCTGTGGAGAGGAGAACTCAGCGTGGCACACCTGGGGCGCCCTTCATGCCCTCCCACACCTCGTTTTCCACGCTCTTACCTGTCATATTGCAGTAGACCTTCAGAGGCGCCAGCGGACCGCTGCCATCGGGGTCAATCCAGTAGTAGTTGGAGGTCTGGCCCAGGTGCTTATAGGCCTCACAGGAAGGTTCGTAGATGGCTGGAAGGGAAGAGCCATGTGAGTGCAGCCGAGCTGGGACTCGGGGCCTGGAGAGCATCCTCAAGTTACAGGAGGGCCCTGGTGTTACTGTAATGCATACTCCAGTTCTATTCTGAACTGGCAAATACTAAGCTTCTGCGCTTTAATCCAGGTGATTCAGACCACCCACAGCGTGTAACAAGCAGGCTGTGTGCGTGTGGGGCGCATGAGCTCACGAAATCATTTCTCTTCCTTGTGGATAACTTAAGGGCTTTATGTTGAGAGACCATTAGTATTATCTGTTTTGTTGGGTCACCATCTAAGTTCAGATATAGTGAAGCAAATCTTTCACCTCTCTCCCTCTCCCCCTCCCCTTGCCCCTTCCTCTTCCCCCTTCCCCCACATTTTCTCTCTCTCTTCCCCCCATCTCCGTCTCCCTCTCCCTCTCCCACCCTCTCTCTTTCCTTTTCTGCACCATGGGTACATGTCTCCCCATCTCCCCTTGCATGTGCTTCTTGCCCTCTCCCCCTTCAGGTGAAGGAAGAGGAGGAAGCTGTCCACTGTATCTGTGGCAGGTGCTGTAGCAGCATCAAGCCCAGCTCTTCTGGAAAGCTGACACATTGCCATTAAGTTACAGCTCTCCCTGTTTTCCTTCATGCCCCCACACTGGGTGGACAGGCCTCCCCTGTCTGCCCTCACCTGCACCTGTGCTGGACACAGACTGGGCACTTCCACTTGCCGCTAGTCAGGACGTTTTAAGTTCTCCAGAGAAATCACTCCTAACAGCCCCTCCTGGGTGGGCATGGAGACCACCCCAGAGTGACCACTGGCATTGGTGGTCACTCTGGGGTGGTCCACTCCCTGACTTCCCCTTCACATAGCCTCTTTCTCCTGTGTCCCTCTCTGTCTCTTCTCCTTTACAAGGACATCAGTCAGATGTGAATAGGTCCCATTCTGTTCCAGGTGACCTCACATGAGCTGACTTCTACAAAGACCCTATAACCAAACAAGTCACTTTCTAGGTCCCAGGGGCTAGGAGCTGAGCACACCTGCTTGGCTCTGCCCAGGATCCATCCTGATGAATGAAGGAAGCCCTGCATGTAAACGTGGATGTGCCAGGAATGGTGGCTGGTACTTCTCAGCCCCGCAAAGGGCCCTCAGGATGGGGAGGTGGATGGTCTTCACAAAGAATGTTCTGGGCTTCCCTGTGTCCACGTTCTTATCTTACTCAGAGCCCTGGTGGCCTAGTAGTAAGAAGATGCCTGTGATCCTGAAGTTCGATCCCGCTGCTCCGAGGAGAAGGATGGACAATCTCCTCCTGTGCCACTGACCGCCTCTGAGAAACCCCTGGAGGGTCAGTTCTGACTCGATGGTACACAACAACAACAACAATCTAGCATGGGGGATTTCCATCAGAAACCGTGGAACTGGCTTACTGAGCTCAGCCAGGTGCTGTGAACTCGGATGGGGCATTTGTTTACCCAGGCCCTAAATGACCCCACTAAGGTGACCCCCGAGTGTGGGTAGAACCTAGTGGAAATCTCGAGGTAGAGGTGCGCTGAGGCTCCCTCAAAAACCCCTAGTTCTGAGACCGGCATTTGTTAAGGAGTGCCTGCAGGCTTTGTGCATCCTCCTGTTGTGCGCATGCGCTCCTGCGGCACACAGGCTCAGCACAGCCTGCCCCTGCCAGTTACTCGAGGAAAGTTGGCTGATGGAGTTCTTTCTGTAAGTGACTCCATGAAAATACCTAAAACCCCGAATGGTGATTAATCTTTAAAATACAACAGATGGGAATAATCGTATGAAACACAATTTGAGGAAAACACTATGTGAAACACAATGTATAAAATAAAACAAAGCACAATGAATAAGAATTTTCTATGCAAACCAATATAAAGAAATTATTTCCAAAAGATGGTGCTATCATAGTTCTGTGGGCAGGATTGGTGCCGGACCTTTCCCTTTGCGTCTGTCTTTTCAGTGAGAATCCAGAACTCACTTGACATGAATAACCCCACAGCTACCAGGGTGACCAGGGACTGAGACCACAGAGCACAGAATTTCGAGCACAGAATTTGGACTGCAGCCTCCAGAACTGTAAGAACAAAATTCTCTTCTCCAGGCCAGCCACTTGATCCTTATATTGACAGCCCTAGGAAGCTTAGAGACAGGACTTAAAGAACTGGACCCTCCTGGTGCAGAGCTGTGGATAGTGTCAGGACATCACGTCTGGTATCTCTACAGCCCACGCCTTTGCTCCTCTGTGCTGTCATAACCAGACACCACAATGGTGTTCAAGAATGTAAGATATTACCCCGTGTCCCAGGTCAGGAGTCTGGGAGTTAAAACTCAGCTGTGGCTCTGTGGGGTTATCTGTCTCTGGCCAAGTCTGGGAGCTCCTCAGAGTGTCAGCCGCTATGTGTGTCCATGTGTATCCACCAAGTTCGCTTCATAACTTAGAAATGATTAACATTCAGATACACCCACACTGCTGTGACTTCATTAATTTAATAAAAGAAAAACCTCTATTTTCAAAACCCATACATACAAAGGTCAAGAAATCAGCATTGATTTTTATTTTTGGGGACCCAGTTCAATCTCTTAACAGTCATCTGGTTTCAAAATCACTGAGAGACCAGAATGACCTAGAAGTCAAGGACATGGGGAGAGTCTCAAGCACAGACATGCCTGGCCACATCTGTCACGTGACCAGGACTGGACAGCTTTCCTAACATTGCCACACCTGACCCACAGACCCTGGGCATGAAGGAAGCTGGCATAGAAATAAGGTAGCATTTTTCATGGACTCAAGAAAGGCCAAGCTCATTCTCACCATTAAACACAACAAGAGAAGGCTAGCAAGGACCTGTTAGAAAGCTTTCCACATCCCAAGATCAACAGAAACACACCAAGCGTGACCGAACTAGAGAATAGTTTATGCTCCACTTTTTCCTGAGTGGGCACAAGTGAAAACTGGCCATATTGGTTTTGTTCCCAGCATACAATCCTCCCTCATTCACCTGACATCATCTGGCTGCTCAGAGAACTACAGACTCGGGTCAGAAAACCTTAGGGGAACATCCGGTCTGCTTCCTTCCTTGTAAATACTTCTCATCATTATAACAAAAGCTTGAACTCCCACTGGGGGTCTTGTTCGATGCTGAGTGTTTTGCAAGCATTTTACCATCTGTTTGCACAGGGATCCTATAAGATACTACCTACTTTAAAGAGGTGGTCATGGTTGTTACGTACTTCGAGCTGACAGTGGCTCATCGTGACACTATGAACAATGGCTCTGAACCTTGCTGCGTCCTGAGCCAACCTCACCATCTCTGACATACCTGATCCCATTGCCACAGTCACTGTGTCAATCCATCTCATCCAGGGTCTTCCTCTTTTGCATTGACCCTCTCCCCTTGCAAGCATTATGTCCTTCTCCAAGGACTGATCACACCTGGCAATATGCTCAAAGCATGCAAGACATAGCTTCAAAATCTTTGCCTTCAAATAACAACTTGGTTTCACCCTTCCCAGGAAAGACCTATTTGTTCTCTTGGCAGTCCATGGTATGTTCAATATTCTTCTACAGCACCACCATTTAAAGGCACAGATTCTTCTTCTGTCATCCTTAGTCATTGTCTAGCTCTCCGAGGAGACAATAGACTGGATCAGGTGCACCTTAGTCTCTAAACGGACATTGTTGCTCTTCAGCACTCTGGAGAGGTCCCTGACAGCATATTTTCCCAATGCAACTCATCTTTTGATTTCCTGACTGCTGGTGCCAAGAGTGTTGACTGTGGATTGAAGTAGATCCAACCGTTGACAACTTCAATCTTTTCTCCATCCATTATGATACTGCCAATTGGTGGCGAGGATCTTTGTTTTCTTGATTTTTTAAAATTGTACGATTACGAAAGTTTATAGAAAAGTTGGATTTTCATTCACTCACTGTTGCACATTTTCCTCCCTTCTCATCCCTGTTCACTTAAAAAAACCAACAACCACCAAAACCCCAAATATCTTCATTCATTGTTGCGTAGTTTCCTCCATGCGCACCCGTTTCTTTGATTCTGAGATGCAGTCCATATTGAAGGCTGCATTCTTAAACCTGCTGCAGCACGTGCTTCATGTCCTCCTCAGTTTCAGCAACCAAGGTTAGTTCCCCTGCATAATGCAGGTTGTTGATGAGTCTTCCTCCAATCTTATTTTTGCTTCTTTGTTTTTATAACACTAGTCTATTTACAAAATTCAAATACACTGATTTTCAGACCAGATTCTTCCAATTTCCCTCCTCCACCCATCAAATTGCACAACCCATGGTTAATCCACCCCTCACCCCACCCACACATCCTCATCCCTCTGCTTCCTCCTCCCCTTTAGATCCTCATACTCATTCTACAATAATGGTTTTATACAATGCTTGCCCTTGTGGGACTGAGTTAGTTCACTCAGTATAATGCTCTCCAGTTCCTCCCAAGCTATGCAATAATTTACCAATCATTGCTCCTGAGTAATGCAGAGTATTCCATTGTATGAATATATCATAATTTCTCAATCCATTAGATTGTGGTTGGACATCTGGACTGTTTCCACGCTCTTGCGATGGTGAATAATGCTGCTATGAACAGTGGTGTACAAGTCTCCATTTGTACCTCAGTTTTCATTTTCTCTGGGTATATTCCAAGCAGTGGAATAGCTGGGTCATATGAAATTTCTATTTATAGCTTTTTGAGGGAGCACCAAACTACCTTCCAGAATGGTTACCCTTTTACAATCCTACCAATAATGTATAAGAGTGCCTACCTCGCCACATCCTCTCCGACATTTATTACTTGCTGTCCTGTTAAATTTTGCTACTGCTACCGGAGCGAGATGGTATCTCATTGTGGTTTTGGGACTGCAGCACAGCTTCTTGCCATTAGGCCACCAGATCTCCCTCTCATTGTGGTTTTGATTTGCATCTTTCTTATTGCCAGTGATTTGGAGCATTTCTTCATGTGTCTGTTGGCCATTTGAATATC